CAACATATAGGTATTCAACTTTAAACCATCACATCATAAACTGAAATGTATTGTCGTCTACTTTCTACCACGTCTAATGTAGTGAAGAATTGGGGATACTTAGTATTCACCCGAGTGAATCTTTAAAAAATCTTGGCTATAGGAATATGTTATTAAATTGAGTAAAAACTCTAACCTGTAGACAGAAACCGATTGCAGATTTGAATTCAGAGATGCGTAAATATCTAAGATCAGTTTAAAAATGTCATGCAGAAGAAAAATAAAATTGTAATTTGTTGGATTTCAATCAACGTTTTTCTCCCTTTCTCATTCAAGTAATGATTTATAACCGCTATAGTGCGTAATGTATTTTGAAATAGATTACTTTTTGAAAAGTATTTCTGAACTACATATTAAATAACTTTATCAACATTCTATTATGAAATTAAAACATTATTTATTCTCGTAGATCAAAGAGATTTTAAAAATAGGTTAAAACACAAATCTTCGTCATCCTCTCCTTAAATAGAGATTAATTACGGAAGAAAATATTATTTTTAGTTCCTATCTAAATTAAAGTTGTCTTATTTATTTATTTACTGTTACTCATACATATTCAGGCTTATATATTCAATACAAAAAATACCGCATATGCTTTTCATGCAGAGGAACAGATAACACAAAATCGTAAAGGGAAGAACAAAGATGCGTTCAGGGTTACGGTGAGATTCGAACCCGCGACCACGCTTCCGAGCGTTCGGTGGAATGAGCAATAACCCTTGTCCACAGAAACCTCAAAAGTTACTTGACATTATATTTAACTCATACTTGTCATTCAATTCACTACTTTAGGGTCGGGGTAGCCTGGTTAGTAGGGCTTTAGACTCGCGTTCGAAAGAATGAGAGTTCGAATCCAGCCGACCGAAGAATCCCCGTTTATTAAATGGTGACTGGTGCTCGTTAAAATCTGTCAGGGTAGCAAAGTCATCCAAGTTCCCATAATACATCAATACTTCTGGGGGCTCTGATCCAGGAGTTCCTTGGTTTTCTGGATTGGGTTCAAAATTACAAAAATACGGAGTTGAACATTGGAAGTCGTAAACTCAAATTTGGGTCAGCTGTTCAACGATGGTTTTAAAATTAAATAAAATTCACTGCTTTAATTGAATAATATTTATAAGTAGAGCCCAGATTTTGATCACCTGAAAAATATCAACTAATGCCCTTAAAAAATGCAAAAAATGCCCTTAAAAATGCGAAAATTGCCCTAAAAATGCCTTATGACACGACTTAAATGAAGTAAAAATATTGAACTGAAACAATGTTTTACTCTTTAAAATTATAATGAGTCATTATAAAACATTTAAAGCAATGCAATACTTGTTCTACGTTCGTTAAAGTTTGAAAAATATGTTTCATATCCTAAAATATCAAAAAAANAAAAAACAAAAAAAAAGGAAAATGTATTGCCTCCAAAACATTTTTATTTTGTATAGAAACTTTAATGAATATAACAACTTCCATCTCATAATATTGCTGAATATCAGAATTACACTGGATTATTAAATTATTTTTGATATTTTGAAATGTAAACGAGCGTCTCTTGCCTGAAAGTAAATTTTTATAAATGGAGAATCTTCTTTCAACGTCTACTGATGTTTTTGGTGCGTACTTGAAAAAGACGGTCTCACTTACTGACAATTCTTCTTCAATTTGAAAAGATGTTGCTTCACCTGTTAATATCCTAGAGACTTTCTGCATTGTTTGGAAACCAGTGTTCTTCTCCAAAACTTTGTTCAATTTAGCTGCTACACTTTGTGCTATTTTTCCCTTTGCTTTTTACAACACTTGACACACTACGTCAATATAATTTATAGCATCGCAAAGTTCCAATTCTTGTTTCTCCAAGCTTGTAATTGTCGAGGACACAATAGTAAAGTTAGACTTGATAAATGATAAGTTTCCTTCGATTTTGTCAAAGGCCAACACGTTTTCGCTATCTTAATTGATACAGCATCTTCTGAATCGAGACAAATTATTAGACAAATCTTAAATTTCATGAAATAAAAATGTTCGAAAAAATAATAAAAATTGAAAAAAATTAACAAAACACTTAAAAAATGCTTTAAAATGCAAAATACGCCCCAAAATTTAAAAAAAATGCCCTATAAATCTAAAAAAAATGCTCTAAGGAACAAAAAATGTCCAAAAATGCAAAAAATGCAAATGTCATCAAAATCCAGGACTTATTTATAAGTATTAAATAGTGTCGAATTTTGTATTTTGAATTTTTTGATTTGTTCTCCCATAATAAAGAATAAAAGGAAGTTCTGAATTCGGAAACAAAGAAAATAAGTAATTTTTTCTGTTATTATAAGTGGAATAATACGGTAAATATGAAAAGTTATACTAAAAAAAATGACAGTTTGATTTCAGCAATTATACATTTAGTCGAAAACAGTTGCAATCTTATTCTGTCAAAATGTCAAAAAAGAATTCAATGAAAAAGAACATTATTCTTCGAATTACAGGATTCTGTTCTTGTTATATCCCCTTTTCAAAACCTTGAGAAAAATTAAAATTAATTATAATAAAAAACCAAAACAGTTTTGAATCGAAATAGCTGGCAAATTAAAGCTTCATAAAAATTCAAATCACGTTGTAAGAGTAAATATTGACTTGCGCAGCTGGTTGATGCTTGAGGCATATTGAAGAAGCCATCTTGTGTGTTCTAAGATGTTTAATGATGCTTATTAAAAGGATTCTTTATTATTAATTATTATGACTTAATTAGCGAGACTTACAGCGTTTTGAATTTTAAGGAGAATCCGTTTCTTAATTAAAATTGAGAGATGCGTAAGTCTGTGAAACAAGCCACGTTATTTTTTGTATGCAATCCGTAATAATATGAATCAAATATTATTTTAAAATTAATTCGAACAAAAATCTTTCATTAATTAACAGTTTTTTGCATGAAAAAGTGAGCAACTGAATTAGTTGTCTTCACTGTTAAATTAATTAACTAACATTTTGTCTGTTCCGGATTGTTGTAACTCATTTTGACCACTGTTGCGAAAACGCAATATTTTCATAAAACGCTTCTCAATGTTTTGTAAGAAATTGTTTTAGAAAAAAAAGTAGTTGGGCATACCTCTAGAAATGCAGATATGTTATTTCGCCTCAGAATATAGATATTTACATTATCAGTATATAATGGCGAACATGATTGCTTTGTTTTTCCAATATAATTACAAAAATCAAATATTTGAGTTATCTGTCTTTATCTCTTTCTAAGAAAAACTTTGTGGTTTGATGATGTAGTTTTTAAAATGTTTTCCATATAAAACCATGAAATTTATTAATTTCTAAGTACTTTATAATAATTTCTTAATGGGACACCTGAAAGTGGCAAAGTGTAAGTATCTCGATCCTGATTGGTTATTGAAACGTAGTATTTGCTAGTGTTAGCAACTGTTCTTTCCATTCTATTTAGAGTAAGCTAAGCTAGTCAAGTATCAATTCTCTTAAATGACATAATCTGAATTCTTTCACAAAGATTTCAATTCCTCCATTTTATATTTCTAATTTAACCTAAAGACAGGCATGAAGCCATGTAGAACGAGAAGAAAATAATTAGGCATCGAAGTTGCCAGGTACACAAAATAATATATCACGGTTACAATAATATACATAAGCAAATAATAAATCTAAGTTAAGTAATAAAAGACGTAGCCGTATATTTCAACAGATGCGATGTGTGATACGGCACTGTATATGAACTTGAATTTAAATAACATTTTAATTTATGAGGAGAAACTTAGTTCAACTTTAACGCGCCATTTTGCTTACAAACGATCAGCTGTCTCGTCATAGGTCACATGTGTGGTTATACATGATCTTCATCTTCTTAAAGTGCAAGTATCCAATTAAGATGATTCAGATGGGGTCAGAAATGGATTCCATAGTGGCCTGATCGTAGAGGCACTGTTCCTAGTGAAACACCGAAGACGAGCATCACTGCCTGCCGTCAGTGTGCGGGTAGATGACCACCTCGATCAGTCTGCGTAGAGACCAAGCTTGTACGGTATCGGTCCTCGTTAAATTGCCCTATCATAAAGTGTTCGACTTCGCGTGCAGGTCGTCTGGCTACCAAAGTGCATCCCCTCTGCAGAGCATCGAAAATTGTGTTGGCATGTCTTCGGATTATCCTCAAGGATGTTTCCCAGACCGTCGCCAATAGCCCATTGTTTATCTCTTGTGCAACGTTTTTAAGAGTTTTTGTTGCAAACCGGAGGAATAGTATCTTTGGGAATCTATTCTGCAGTAAGGCACTTACTTAAAACATTAAAAAAGGAAAACGGTAGAAATGAATGAAAAATAGCAAACCAAAACTATTACCATCAAATCTTTAGGGAATTATTTATTAAATCAAAGGGGGAGAATTATTGATTTACTTTATTTTCTTAAACCGTCAAAAACATTTAATAGTTTTTTGTTTATATGAATAAAGCAAAAAGGTAAGTACAATTTTCAGTTCTTCATTTAATTATAAGTTTAAGACATAGGTTAAAATAATCTGTGACTAAGAAATTGCAGATCCCTTAAAAACCCTAAGGCTTTTTTTCAATCACTTATGAATACGTTAAAATAACTCTTTTCGCAAACAGGAGGTAGCAGAATCCCCTGTACTATAGAATCTATGCTCAAGTAAATATAAATTACAAAAATACTCTAAAAATAAATAAAAAATTTAAAGACAGTCGAGAATAAAATGTTTCAATAAAACTGAAGTAAAAAGTGAAAACATTTAGTATACATTTAGAATAGTGACATTTAATATAGTGAAAAGCATTAAAGACATTTAGTATACTTCTCAAATCTTATGATTAAAGCGACACACACAATATGTGGAATTTCTAAAAAGAATTTTATAAAACAGCTTTGCGTGTTTTTAAAAGACATAAAATGAAATTATATAAATAGTTTTAAAAAACGAACTGCAGTTCAAAATCAAGTATTACCTTTTCCACCACAGGTTGCAGGTAAATTGTTGCTTCATTACGGTGACGTGCTGCCATTTTTAAAAACAAAATTCTGCATAGAATGATGTTCCATAGGCTACATTCTATAGCTGATAAACGTATCCCAAATGAAGCACACACACACACTATTATACTTTAACAGAACCCAACAATAGAATGGTTTATAAAAAAAGAATATTCAGAATGATCTTCAGGAAAATATTTTAACGCGCTAGAAAGTAGAAACGGTGGAAGAACTGGCACAGAAACAGAGGAATAGCTCTCTGACGTCATGAATTACGAGAACGCTAAGGAGTTATTTTTAAAATTTCGTCTTGAGCCTGTGACTCAATTTATTTTGTAAAAAAAAAAAGGGTTCCTTTCACTTTTCACCCTAGACTGATCACTTCAGTGAAAACAAGTAACACCTACTGTGCTACAAAAATGAAGAGTTCGAAAGAGATGAAGTCATGTCGATAGCAATGAAAAAAATATTATTAAAACTCGTAGAAGTATAAAAGAAAAAAGAAAAGAAAATCAGAAGTTTTCTTCATATTAATGAATAAAAATGGGTTTCAATTTATTTCCGTCCAATGTTGTTCAATACAGAAGAATAAAAAAAAATTTGACTATATCCGGTAATTTAAACGATAATTCACAATTTAGAATTAAATTTGTGACTTATGACAATAAAAAATAGGAAAACTATAGATTCATAACTATTTAAAAAAAAAGGTTCTGAACAAGTTTTTACATTATGAAAATTTTAAAAATTATTAGTGAAAAATAATTTGTAACAATATTTGGATCCAAAACAATGCTCTAATGATCAAAAATAATATGGTGAAGAAGTAGGTTCTATTTTGAACGATCCGATAAATTTGATCCAAAAACTGCGTCTAAATGTTATGTTTTATTTTGATCAGAAATAATGGACGAAAAAGAAGGCTCTATTTTGAGTAAACAATTCAACTAGTTTGATCCAACATAGTACCCTGGTGATATGCTTTATTTTTACCAAAAGTAATTTGCAGAAAAGGAGGGCTCGATTTTGTGCAAATTAATTCGTAAACTAGTAATTCGATCCAAATCCTTGTTTTAATGATAAGCCTTATTTTTACAAATAAGAATAGTTAGAAAAGAAGGATCTAATTTAAACCAAAGATTCAATAAACTTAATCCAAAAACTGTGTCGAAATTTTATGCTTTATTTTGAGCAATTTATTTATAATTAGCAAGAAAAGAAGGCTCTATTTCGTTCAATTCTGTTTATAGACTGTTAGGAGCAACAATATTAAGCTTGAAATGAGATTTTTCTTCAAACAATGATGAATTGTTCATACTTCGAACGATAAATCAATATAAATAAATAGTGATTCTCAAAGAAATTCGTTACTTTCAATAATAAGAACCATTCTCGTTATCATTAATCAGAATTTTATATTTAACGAATATTTTTTAGTATAAATGCAAAATTATTTTTAAGGATCGTTTCGTTAAATCATAATTGTGGAATAAAAATTTTTTAACAATCGTTTCCGATCTGTTTGTGAAGAATGTGAAGCAAGAATTTGATTTTCAAAACCTTTCGTTTGTAAACCGAATTTTTTTCTTTCTTTAACGTTTTCCTTGTGCAGCTACGCAAAATCAGAAACAAATAAATAAAACATTAAGGTCGTCTAGGTAACAGTTGAAAACTTAATGGAAAAATATTAGAAATTATTTGCATATTTTTAATATAATGAGGAAAATCTCAATCAAAATAAACAACACTGTCTAACTATTCAAAACGTGGAGTTTTAAGAACAATTAATTCTAATTCCACAAACATGAATAAAATAATAAAAATGCTAAAATAATTCTTATCATCGAGAATTTTTTTAGAAAACTATAGCTAATATAATCGTAAAATAATAATAAAAAAATTTCTGAAACAATCAGGTTATGAATTTAGAAAAGTACCATAGTTATATGTAAATTATGAAAAGGAGCAAGGCCATTGGAATCAGTTCTAAGGATGCCTCATTAATCAACTTAATTATTCGTCGCCAGGTGGCACTCCTCAAAAACAGCTGCACTTCAAACTCGGTGTTTGAGTACATGAAAAACAAACAGTAAATGAAATAAATGGTAATTGTCGTGAAAGGTAATTTTCGTTACGAATTACTCTGTTGTTTTTTACATGATACAAACAATTACAAAATAGTAAAGAATTACAAGACCTTTTCATGGTTGTTTGTTACAGAGAACTAACAAATAAAAAAATTATTATATTTCAAAACAAATTAATATGCATTTTATTAATTTTAAGTTATCTTTATTGAATATTTCAGAGATTTCATGCTGTAAATAACAGTCTTTTCGTTATAAAATCCTTTTAATCAACACAAATAGTTGTAAACAAAGCTATTTAAGATAATTTTAACTTTTAATTTTAACGAAAATAAATTTTATTATAAAATTTATTAAAAACAAAACATTTTGAAGAATTCTGAAGAATTTCCTTAGTGTTAAATTAACTTACCTTATAAGTTGTTAATGCTTTTAATAAAATTCTATTTACCAAAATAGTAATTTGAAATCTGATATTAAAAATAATAATTAAATCAGATGCTTACCTTCAAAAAATTGTTTATTTTGTTCTATTCCATGTATAAAATCCCTTTGCATTCGAAATCTTTTACATAAACCAAAATCTTAACAAAATCGTTCTATTTTTTTGGTATCATGAATCATAAAAATCTGAAAAGAAAGAAAAACATTATTTTTGAAAAGTACTTAATGAGTACTTAATTATAAATTCTTAAATTCATTAAAAGAACAATTTCCATTAATTATACTAAAAACATCATGTGCATGTAATATAACAAAAGTGGAGAAGTACAGAAAGATTTTCGCTCTTTAAAAATAGTTTATTTCCTCTAAAAAATTATGAAAAGAAATGACTTATTATCGGTAATTTTTTTTTTAATTTTGAAATATAATACCAATTTCATATAATACTGAATCATCACGAAACTGTAATGTTTCTTTATCTAGGAATTATAATTGATAAAAGATCTATTGATCAAGAATTTTGATAATGTAATACTCTTTTCATTTTTCAAAATAAATTTTTTTTCTTCACATTTGTGAAAAGTGTTTCGAATTACAAAGACGTAATCGTAAAATTATCATCCAACGGAATGTAAAAGGTCGTACTGGAATATAATAACTCATAAAGCTTATATTAAAAGAATTTTTTAATATTTTATGAACATAAAATTAAGACCGATTTTAATGATAAAGGCTCCTTCAACTTAAAAATATAACACTGAATTTGATCTAATGTGGAATTATTGAGAATTTTAAAGACGAGTAAATGTTTCTTTACCTTAGACTTAAAATTGATGACAAATTTTGTAGTGAAGAATTTTAAAAATGTTACACTTTTTATTATTTTCGCAAAATAAAAATTAAAAATATTGCTTAAATCTGTTAAAAAAATGTTCCGGATCTTAAAATTGTAGGTTCTCGTAAAAGAAAGAAAAACATACAGAAATATAATAACACATAACGCATATTAAAATATATTTAAAAATTTCTAAACATTAAATTGAAACAAAAAAGGAAGGCTGAAAAATAATAAAATTTTTAATTGTTTGTTGAAAATAACCTATTACTTTATTTTAAAACATACGCACAGACAATGTGGTGAGAGAAAAAATTTGTAATTAAAATAGTATAAAAGCAAACAATTGTTTAAAAAATTTGCAGTGAGTTTCTCAAAGTACTTTGAAGGAATATGATAAAATTTAGAGTTCATCTTAAGAAGGATAAAAAAAATTATAAATATTTCACACCAACATAGCAGGCGTTCCAAAAATTTGAAAATCAATTAAAGAAAAAGAAGGAGATGTGATTAAGTTGCTTCCTTTTGCTTGGGAAATTAATTATTTTTTTAAAAAAAAGCTTTAAAATTAATTACTAAGTTCGTCGATAGATGGCTCTGCTATCAGCATGAAACTGACAAACAATGTTTTAAAAATAAACACTATTCGTAGCAACAACATGGTGCAGCCTGAGGAAAACATATGCAGGNTTTCTTAGGAAATTAATTATTTTTTTTTTAAAAAAGCTTTAAAATTAATTACTAAGTTCGTCGATAGATGGCTCTGCTATCAGCATGAAACTGGCAAACAATGTTTTAAAAATAAACACTATTCGTAGCAACAACATGGTGCAGCCTGAGGAAAACATATGCAGGTATCCCTGCAAATATTTTAGTTGGATTAATCAGACATGCAGTAGAAAAGATTGTTTTGTCTGTCATTTAACAATGTCATGTGTTGGCGAACTTGGTAACTTTTGAAATTAAGTGAGAATCAATACTATGTTTTTTAAACTGTACGAATCATTGAATATTTCCACTCCAAATTAAACCTTTTTTTTTCATACCATTTACAAGTCTAAAAAGTATTCACGTCCCAAGTGAAATAAAATAAAAAAATAAATTTGATTAAAATAGTTTTTTAAATCCATAATACAACTGTATAATGTCGCTGAAGTGTATAAGAAGTATAATATTAACATGTGCACAAAGCACAAAATATTAATAAATGCTATTCACCCTCAGTCATCAACTGATTCGTCTTCTTAATGTACCATCTGGAGGCTGTTAAAACCGAAAACTAATATTAATACCGAAAAATAAATTCTTGTTACTACTTAATTCTGAAAAACGAAAGGAGAACTCCTTAATTGGTTCTGCATCCCAATTTCAACTGACGCCCAATTGATTTTACACTGACTTATTACTGTGGTTAATGAGATGATAATCGTTAAGCTAATTGACTGGGTCGAGTTTCTTAAACTATCTGATAACCTTAATGATTCGGCGAATAGTCACCGACAATGAGAATAGTAGTTAAATTCGACTTTTAACAGGGTACCGAGTTCAAATTGGAGGCTTTGTTTGAAGGTCGTACGTATTTCCTTGTTTTTTTCTTCGAATTCCAAGCAATTTAGGAAAACATAATGCTAAGGATTCATGATTTGCTAGAAAATTGAGCTGTACAAAAATAACAAATAAATAAAATGAGATACATAATTTCAACCTTGAAATAGTTAGGAAATGTATAACTATCGTAAAATTAACATTTCATTCTTGCAATGTGGGATAAATTATAACAAATAAGAGTAAAAATAAATGCTTAGCTATAAAAAAACAGAATATAAGATCTTCATTTTCAAGAAACTAACACACAAAAGGGGGTTCATTTTAGCAATGCAAATATTAAGTTATCAAATTGATTAACACAATTTTAAATAATTGTACAGTTACATCTATTGTATAATAATTTTTATACTTCTATTTTTATTATA